TTCTTTGGTGTCGAAGGGAGCAGGACGCCCTCGATTTCCAGAAGCTCTTCGGCCAGTGGCTCGAAGGCTGAATCTTTCGAGTTATCCGAGCCCATCTGGAGCTCATCTGCCGCGTGGGAACATTCCAGCAAGCGTCGTTGGAGAGTAACTCTACACGTGCGTGCAGATTCGGAAGAGAAGAGCAAAGCTCACGCTATCAAGGCAATCGAGATGGTAGCTCAGACATTGAGCAACCCGCTGGATTCGCTTTCGCAGTCCATTGAATCCCAATACTCCTTTACCAACAAAAAACGGGCAACGGTGGATGAAAATTCAGAGCCCATCTTCGATCGACGGGGTATAGACGAGATGAGCGAGAGCGAGATGGATACCGATCCTTTTCTGCCTCGCCTACCCTCCGACCCTCGAGCGACGTTGGATCCGTTCGCTCCGGAAAACACGATTGCGGCCAAGCTTACACGTCAACATCGACTGGCCGAAGAAGCGGAGCTGGAGCGTACCATTCGTATTCATAAGCCCGCATGGGTCACCAGCGAGCCCATGACGCGCAAGAGATCCTCCTCTTCTTCGTCCAACGACACATCTCAGAGCAGCACGAGCAGCAATGATGCCGTGGTCGATCACGAGCCTCGTTGGGCAGATGCCGCCTCAATTGCAAGGGACAAGGTGTACCTCGATAGCACCACCACCACGCTGCCTCGCATCGATTCTGCACACTGTGAACTCGACGCGACGGACGCCGCATCGAATCGAGAATCTTTTCGCCGCTGGGCTTCGGCTTTGGCCGAGCCCGAGGTGCTCTTTCAACGCTACGCAGGCCGGAGCTGATTGATGTGCGTTGCTTTTTCTCGCGGGCAGAGATTGAGGAAAAAGCTCGCAAGGGCACCTATGAAGGCCGCTCTGAGCTCTCAAGCTGTTTTCCGTCCGGCCAATATGCCACCTAGCAATTCCACCCTTTTGCACCACTTGCGTTGTATGTATGCCACACGCATCATAATCTCTTTCTATCATCGCTCGCCGCTCCACATGACCTTGCGCGGCCCCTAAAGCGCTACGGATCGTATAGCATCCCCAATCACAATGTGGGATCATCTTATCGTGTAGCCCTATCCCCGTCTTATCCCATTTGAGAAGAAATGACAAAAATGAACAAACATGCGCCACAGCCTGCAGCAGCCTAATCGATGGTGCTGGGCTCGCTTTTGAGAATAGTAAATCATGGACGCTGCGATGTTGAGGGGTCAAGAGCAGTTCCATTTGCATCATTACTTGGGAGAGCATATCCATCAGATGGTCGGATCGCAAAGCGATGCGTGGTATATACATCGATAACTTGTTAAGGATAAGAGCAAGAGCCGTTTCCGAAAATGGAATGCTTACAGCGCGCCCAGGAGGAACGCGACGAGGAGAGCAGGTAGCAAGGTGAGAGCAGCGCTGTTAGCCCCGAGCGAAATGGCGCCGTCGCCCTGAGTATCGGCAACAAGAGGTAATTGAGTTCCGATGGTGTTGTTGAGACAGTTGAAATAGGTCATGTTGACCGCGCTGGGAAGAACAGTCAGACTTCTTGCCAAAGCGTCATCCGTACCATTATCGCCCGTCGAGTCGTTGGCAGGTTGTCCATTGTTGTAGCCTCTCAAACCAAGAGCAAACGAGCTGCCTCTGTAGTATTGCACGATGCTGGTAGGTAGGACCCTAAAGTCTGCAGGTGCTGTGGCGTTGTCGTTGCCCGAGCCACAGGCAGTGGCAAGTGCGTTCTTGGTATCGATAACGCTGTTGTTGTCTCCGTAGAGATAAAAGGCATTGGAATTGATGTCGACGCCAGCAGGAGGGGAGAGGTAAAAGGGCCCTTCGTCTCCTCCCGGTCTACCAGCCATTCGATACTGAGAAGCTCCATAGTATCCACCGGCGCCAAGAGCGCCAAACCCGAGGGGCCAGTAGATGAAAGGGAAGCCTAGACCTGCTGTGCTACCTGCTCGGTTGCCTCTAGCGCCCGAGGTGTAGCCGCTGCCGTATCCAGCTCCTGCAGGAGAATAGACATTGGACCGTGTACCTCCACCAGCAGTGCGACCAGTAAAAGCGCCGGACGTAACGGTGTAGGGAGTCCTAACTCCACCAGCGCTCGAAGAGCCTCGAAGGGCTGATCCACTAGATACGGAACCAGCAGTGAATCCAGGTGTGGAAGATCTAACACCGGAGCTGCCCGAAGATCCACTTGAGCCAGACGTGCCTCCTCGCGTACCGCCGCCACTTGAAGATGATCCTGAGGAACCGGAAGAACCTGTGGAGCCTGAAGATGATGAACCGGTTCGTCCAGATGAGCCGGATGAAGAACCACCTCGACTACCACCTGAAGATGACCCACCTCCTCCACGACCTCCGCCACCACCGCCACCGCCTCGAGGGCTGCGCGGCTCAAGCAGGTCGGCTAGAGAACGAGCCTCTGCTTGGGTGTAGGGAATTGAAATTTCGACTCCTGCTAATGCTGGCATGATGGCTTCGGCAAAGATTGCGCGAAAACTGAGTTGCAAGGTTGAGAGCTAGGGGGCGTGTTGCAGAGCAGTGTTAAGGGGGATGTAGGGCAAATGAGATTGTTTGTGATCAGCAGTGGGGAATAGAGAGAGGCAAGATGGCTACTCACGGTGCAAAGAATATCCGGCGTCTTTATAGTCCTTCGATGAGCTCATGTATGTACGCGTGGCACAGTACACTTGCTAGCCGGCGGGAACAGAGTCGGCGAGTGAGGCGGGATACGTGATGTGAATGGTATGCCGGTGAATCACGAGTGATGAGGGATGAAAGACAAGAGGAGCAGCAAAGCAAGCAGCCCGGATGCATGCATGTATGCACACCGCAGTCACGAGTGACTTGCACGCGGTGGTGTGGGGCCCACCCAGCAGCGCACAGCCCCGTTCATGCAACCTTACGCCAAAATCTTGAGAAAAGCGCACCATCTGCGTCACTCGCATGAAAGCACGCAGCTGCTTCACCGCGGCCGGTGGGTGCACTTCGTGACTTCGCTCGAAGGATCGGTCCGCTGCAGCAGCAGCAGCGCTCCACGCATAGTTTGTACATCCTGTACAAATCGGCTTCTTGGCGTGCGTCGCCGATCATGGCTTGCTTACGCGCTCGCGCGATCGGTTCATTATTGCTCGTGGGTCCCGATATATGAATTCGCAGTCTTGAGTCAGAAGAGTCATTCACATGCATTCACAGCATTCAGATTGCCATTCTTGATTATATTCACGATTCATAATGGTGAATGGGTGATCAGGTGCACAGGGCATCGCCAGGCCATCTACCCGATGGGGTGTGCACTGACTTTCACTCTCACTCTGACTTACATGAGCGTTCACATCCCTTTTTCTCTATGCATGCAATTTGGAGTCACAGTTTGAATCGAGGTGGGCGGTACATGCAGGGCTAAATGACAGCGCCACAAATCACTGCATGAGCACCCGGTTCCATGTGGCACCTCACAGCTAGCGTCGTGGGGCTGTGTCGAAAGAGGCAGCATCTCCATATAGCTTGCTCTAGCTCCATGACGAGAAGGAAGGGAGCTCTAGGAGATCGTCTACATCCGCAATCGTGAATCACGAACGTGAATGCAACCTCTAACATTGCACGCGCCATATTGCCTTTGGAGATGAGGACTTGATGAGCCAGCAAAGGCTCTTGCTATGCTGCACGACTCACCGTGGCCTAGCTGTCAGGCCCAGTTCGAGTGCGACCGACTCTTGGCGTGTGATGTTCAGCAACTTGACCAATCGTCAAACAGCTGGCATTCCCATAGTAGCGCCTACCTTTGCCCCGCCTGAATCTCGCGAAGCCATGGTGGTGGTGTGCAGATTCGGAGAACACATTCTCATCGCGCGGCAAACGGTAGCGAACGCAGCCAGCCGCCTCCTAACATGATGCTGATGCGGCTTGCTCCAGCCAATCGATCGAGAACGTCTACTCGAGACCACTTCTACCGCGCCCAGCTAAATTCGACACGTCATCAGGCGTAGAATAGTCCAAGTGCTCGTCGACAAGGGTCCAATAAGCGCCTTGCTGAGAGCTCGACTGCGTAGAGTTAGACTTACTGCTTATCACATCTGTGGCACTTGTTCAAATGGTCCTGCTCTGAAACAGAATATTGCAAACATAGCTTCGTCCAACGGACTCCTCAAAGTCCGTGGATGAGGGGTTCAAGAGTGCGGTGTTCCGTCGTCATTTTATGACCAAGCTTGCGCAACATCTCAAGAACGCCCTCTCGTCGCCAGCCGCACCGTCTCAAAATTCTCTCGCGCAAAGGCTCGCATCGAGAGTGATCGTGTTGCAAATATGCGATTGCGAGCCAAAAACATGCAACAAGTTTTGCGTGAACAATCTTGCCTTTCATGGCGAGGTACCTTCGTCGCACAACCGTGCAGAGCAGATGTGACAACGATGTGAAGCTGGTCATGTGGCCGTAGCTGGAGTAGCCGCAGCACGAACTTCCGCCTCGTCCCGGGCTTGGTCACGAGCGGCCATCTCAGCCTCACGGATCCTCTTCTCGGCGATGCGCTTCATGCGGAAGTCTGAATAAGGCAATTGTAAGAAATACTCGGTCAATGATGGGACGGACAAGCAGAGAGCAGGTTGCTTTGGGCGACGCCCTCTCCATTGCCAACGCCGGCGATCGATGACTCACAATCTTGGTGGAGACCGCACTCGGTCTTTCCGCCCTTGTCCTTCCATCTTCCACCGCGCTCTCCATCTCCAGCGCCAGGCAACACGGTAGAGTGCCAATCACCAATGCTCTTGTAACCCATGTCCAAAAGCTCATTGTAAGGGACCGCGTTCGTCTTCACATAATCGTCTACTTGTTGAAAGGACCAGTTGAGCAGAGGGTTCACCTTGATCAAACCCGTCTCGTCGATCTCTACAGCGTTCAAACTGGCTCGATCCGCTCCTTGACTACGTCTTCTTCCCGTCAAGACCGCCTTGACACCCAACTCCTCATACGCCCTTCGTGCAGGCTCCACCTTGACCAAGTAATCGTAAGTCGAATCATCCCGCTCCCAAAGTTGCGGACCCCACTTTTTCTCAAAGTCGGCTACCGTAGGCGTACCTTCGGGCTGGTATACGTGCATGGGTGCGTCGTAATGTCGTGCTGCTTTGTTGGCGAGATCCACGGTTTGAGGGAAATGGTAGAGCGTGTCCATAAAGATCAACGGAATCAAGTGTTTGAGCGGCTGCGAGAACAGAATAGGGGCAGCAGAAGTCAGCACAAGTGTAAAGCCCTTTGCCCAAAGGCTCATTGGCGTCTGGAGTGGTTCATTGCAGTGAGCTAGCAAAAAGCGCCATCAGCCGTCTCTTTGTCTTCATTGACGAGGTGCGGCGGGCTCAATAGCAGTGAGATCTCGCACCGATCCAGGCGCAGTCCACCCTGCGTGCGTCCACATTCAAAACTGGGGAAAGATACTCACGCTTCCAAGCGCATCAGCTCTCTGTTGGCTGATCCGGCTGACCAAGTCCAGAGTGACGCAACCAGTGACACCAAAAGCCGTTGTTTGGTACAATCCGGGCAAACTGTCAATGGCCCATTCTAGGATCTGTGTAGGTGTAGCTTCTGCCAATTTGCTGTTGATTGCGGGCAGATTGGACACTACTGCTTGCACTTGAGCTTCGGCTACTGCCGAAGCGGACGAGGAGGAGGAGGCGGTCGCTTGGTCGGACATGACTGCCATGGAATTCAGTCCTTACGTTGATGTGGTTGGTGACGAGAGGGTAATTGCGTGCTGTCCAAAGCTACTTGAGTGACGTGCGACTCTGAATAGCGTGATGGTAGAATGGGGAGGGTCGACGTACTGAAAGAGACGGCAACACGCATACATGCACACAGCTTTTGCGAACGCGACATCTTTTTTCATGGGCATGCAGCATATATATCCCGGGGCAAGCAAGCTTGCTGCTCGCTCAGCGGCGATGCGCGCGCAACTGCAAATAGATCATTCACTGCACCACAGCTTGCCTCGTCCACACACACTCATTCGGTCGTAACCGCACTCCACCATCTATCTGCCTCAGACAGCGATCGAGGCAGCCTGTACGCGGAGGCGGGCAAGGCTTGCCGAAGGCATGGCATGGGTTTGGTCATCTTATGGGTCCATCAGCAGGATTTCCACGGCTCGATGAGAACCCCGCGTCGATCGCATCTCGCCGGGCGGTCAGCTCAGCCTTGGCAGCAGCGGTAGGACAGAGCCTGAGGAGGATGCAGGCGTGGTTTCACAACACTGCTGGTGTAAGCTCTCGGCTGTAGCTGTGCCGATCTGTGAGTAAAGGCAAAAAGAGAGGGACGAGATGCTGCATGGGTGGCTGCCGAGAGGCAAGCCCGCCTGTTAGATGGAGAGGTCTGGGATCGAGAAGAGGCACGCAGGCACCGCAACTGCATGCAGCTCATGACTGGCTGTGGCCTGGACCGCGCGAATTGGAAGAAAAGCGCGCGCGGACTTTACTGACCTCGCAGCATGCAGGAGGCGTTGAGGAATTACAAATGACGTGCTTTCACGTGACACATTCGGTTCTTTCTCCACATGAAATTTAAACACGTGACTGTTCTACTTACGGCCGTTGGTCACGCGGTCGGAATGGAAAGTCAAGTCACCATCGAGTCAAGCCCGTCTTTGTGATGTCTTTCTGCCTCTCACATCTACACCAACACGCCAACCACTGAGAGGCAAGTCAAGACATATCGCGTCTGTTCAGATCCTTATACTGGCGCAATGTCGGGTTGCAGCGCGTAGAAATTACGAGGCGTGCACCCGAAGAAATGAATACGAGACGAGTCATCGCTGTAGCTTGTTTCTGAGGTCAATCGCCCATGCGAACATCAAGCAGCTCAGCAGGTGGGCGCCTTCTTGATCGCAACAAGGGCCGCGACAATGTCTCGCCGAAAAGTGCGACCTGCCAGCGGATTGACGATTCAGTCAGCTCATCGCCCCCCGATCGCTCCTCCAGCAGTCTCGAGAGGGCAAAAGAGCTGGAACGAAGCGGCAAACGTCTTTTCCTCTTCTCCATATCATGCATGGTACTACTTCCCTTTGGCCTACTAGGCGGTTGGGAGACGCTGTGGATCAACTTGCGACCGCATTTACTCGCCTATCGCAGTGAGCAATTTGCTACTGCACGCGGAGCAGACAGTCAAGAAGCAGCACCACCACACTGGCTCGACTTCCCTTTTTGCATCGCATATTTCGTTCCGCTCTTGGCTCCTCTAATCACTTACATCGTCATTGCGAGATGGAGCGGATACAAAGCTTTTAGACACGCTTAACGCATGCGCTGAGCGACCCGAGGAGCTTCGCAGAGGTTGCTAGTCAAACAAAAAAAAACACACAACAATCAAAGCCGTCTTTCTGGGGTACAGACTTGCGCCCAAATGCATCGTTTCTGTGAATGTCAAAATTTATACGCATTTTTTGGAAGTCACGATAGTTGGACTACACGCCAACCCACGTTTAGCATGCGCACACACCTACGATCTCCAGCAGCGCGGAGCACAATGTGTGACATTTAGCGCTCCTTTGACCCGCAACTCGATCTCGACACATCCCACACTACTTCTGTTCGCACAGCGACGATCACATGGCGTATCAAGGTATTAGCCAGTGAGACATTACAAAGGTATCGGACTTGATGCAAGAACGCGAGAGCGCGAGCAGAGGAGAGGAAGAAGACGAGAAGGAGAACGAGAGAGAAGTAGTGGAGAAAAGGTCTCTCTACTGCGCAGCAGCAGTCTTCTCAACATCCTTTCTCCACTGCTCATTGTGGTCTTGAGGTCCAGCAAAGGTGCCATCAGGACTGCCGCCTCCGATCTTGGCGCGCTCGTCATGAGAAGTGGTGGGCAAGTCGAAATTGGCAGGGTTGAACTCGTCACGACCGTGGATGTAGACCAGGGGCAAGATGAAGAACGCGGCTCCTAGGATATTGCCGAGGAAGGAAGGAATGATGGAATTCCAGATGTAGCGGCCGACCGTCGCGTTGGACTCTTTGGTCAAGAGACCTTCGATGACGAGGAACATGTTGGCGACGACGTGCTACGAGGAAGCAAGCCACAGACATAGGCCCTTAGAACTATTACGCTTCAAGACCTCACGTTGCACTGCAGACTCACCTCGTAACCTGCGCCAACGAAGAAAAGGATGGGCAAGTAGCTTGCGACGATCTTCGAGATGACGTCTTTGCCCAAACTAGCAAGGAAGACGGCAGCGACGACCGCATAATTGCAGCCGATACCCCTAAGGAAGACCTCTCTGAAATTGACGCTGACTACTTTCGCATTCGCAATGTTGGCTGCTCCCATCGACATGGCTGGAGTGTAGAGCGTGCCAAAGTGTACGATGAAAACTGCGTAAACCAGTGCGCCGATGAGGTTGCCGATGAAGCATAGAGACCAATCCACCAGGAACGCCCAAATTGGAACCTTGCGCTTCACGGTTCCGGCAATGAAGATAGCCATGTTTCCTGCGAAGGGGTTGCGGAGCAGCGGATCAGAAAGTGCTGATCTGTGGCAACATGGCAAATTGTGTGCGCTGCGTCAGTCCTATTCACCCGTGACGAGATCAGCTTGCAGCAAGACAATCATGACGAGACCGATTGGAAAGTAGCTGGCTTGGATGAGCTTGAGCAGACCGGGAGCGTTGGTGGTGAGCCAAGGATCTGCACTGAGCACTTGCACCAGCGTTCCTCCTAGAGAGAGCAGAACACCTGCCATGGCCGCCTTGACGAAGCGGACGCCCCATGGAGCAGTGTGCTTGCGAGGTGCGGCATCGATGAATGCCCACGTCGCTTGCTCCAGCGTAATCATCTGAGGTCCTGCCGACATCTTGCTGCTTGCTACGTTCTTCAAAAAGTTGAGGAGAGTTTTGAGG